CGCCCCGCTCCGGCTGCGGCAGCGCCGCGGAGCGCCCGGCCCGGCGGCGGGCGCGCTGCTGCCCCGGGCTGTCGGGAGCGCGGCTTTCCCCACGGGACCCCAGGGACGCCGTCCCATCGGCGGGGCTGCGGGACGAGGCTGCGAGGTGGGGATGGAACGCGGCGGGACCGTCACGGAGTGGGCGCGGGGCCGTGCGGCCGGGCCGGGTTCGGCGGGGAGGGCGGCGGTCTGGGGCTTTTTTTTTTTTTTTTTTGTAAAATGGTGTTTCTGACAATCATTTACATCTGTTGTTACATTTTTACTCTGTCTTCTCTGTTGAACTCTGGTGAAATTGAAACTCTTAGTCTCAGAGGAGAAAAATCCCACCTGGAACAACTCTTGACATTCCGTGCCTGAGTGATGTGAAAGATGCCGTCAGTGGAAACTGTAATGAATATTCTGAATGTTCAGCCAACCTGTTAGATGCTTTTGAAATTAATCTGCTTATTGTTATAATTAGGATTTTTAAAGGCTATTTTGTTTCTTTTTGCCTTGTTGTGGAGTTTATTTGGATGCTTTCACTTGCATTTTTGAAAGAAAGGTGCTATTTGGATGCTTTCACTTCTGTTTTGAGAAGAAAGTCATCAGTTTGGGGAATTAACAGATGAAAATATGAGCACCGTGACTTTGATTATGCTCCTTCAGTGGAATGTAATTTGAGAGTAGATATTGTTCAGTTAGTAGAAACATTTCTTTGTGTTGATGGTGAAATGGTTTTGAGTTGTTCTAATGCTTTAAAAACACAAAAATATTTTTCTTGCCTGACAAATTAACAGTGACGTGTTAGGTCTGCTTCACCTGTGTTACGCCTGTTGCTGTCACTTGGTGTTGTACATGCATATTAGAGGCTGTATACAAACCAAAATGTTTTGTTTTGAAGTGTAGGGATTAGGGTAGTAGAATACAATATGCCATTGTGTTAAAGATCCCCAACTGATTAGCTAATTCGTCATGGTTGTTATGTGTTTGTATTTATAATAATATATTATGGGACCAGGATAGTTGGGTGGAATGTTCATTCTGTTGTCCTTTTTTACAGTGCTTTGTTTTCTGATGTTCTTTTCAGTTAGAATTTATTTATAACCTTTTAGCTCAACATTCCTATCAAAACTTGTTTAGTCTTTTTGCACTTAATTATGTCTAAATAGTTTCATACTATGCCTCAAGTGGCCTTTATTAAAAGTAAATTTATTAGAGATCTCAGTGCTACATTTAGAAATGAAAACTTTACAATGAGGTTAAAATCAAACCAAATGGTTAAGGTGGGAGCCAGTTTATGAAGTGCAAGGCTGGCTGTTTAGTCAATAAGAAATATAAAATAAGACCTAACTAATGATTTTGCAAACACATGCTTCAAGAAGTGTTCTTATTCCTGTAAATTTGGGTTCCCTCTGGGCAAAGCTTAATTGCCATAGCTTTATACAGCAATGGAGTTCTGTTAATTTTCACGTGCATAAATATTGCATATTGGAATTGCTAAAAATTCTGATTAACATATGTTTTAGTTTCAATGGCTTTTGCAAAGAATGTATGTCGGTGATGGAGAGAGACAGGGACAACTGATTCGGTGATCAGAATCCAGTTTTATTGGGGGGTACAAATGCTTATATACTATTTCAGGGAGACTACTAATGTGTACGACAATGATTAGGTTAAAATCACATACACAAACTTATGCATATAACAGCATCTCTTGCTTGCAGAGTTTAGTGGGGTTTCCTTTTTCCGGTAAGCCCGTTTGATTTAATCTTCTTGCAATCTAGGTCTAATTTTCAAAGTTCTGTTTGCTTTTGCCAAGGCATCCTGTTATCAAATCTCTTATGTTAGCCAGGTCCAAAGTTCATCATCAGTCTTGTGTCCCCCAACATTCCAACAAATATGATATGGAAAGAAGCATCAGAAGTAAAGTATTCCCTCAGCAGTTTATTTGAGCCTGAAGAGTTTATTGAATGTAGCTTTCGTGGTTACAAATACTGTGATAGGTTTTTTTGGTATGTGCTATGTAGCTATGCTTGTACCTTTTTTCTGATCATTGCTACTTTAAATTTGGCTTCATTGTTTAGGTGCATACTGGCAACATTGAAGTCATGTAGTGTGCTGTGAAGTATTTGGTAATGCTGGTGATACAGTATTTGGTAATGCTCTTTTGTACATGTCATTTGGTTTTAACAATGGAAGTCAAGTAGATTGTTCTGGGAAATTATTTTAATTGATGGACATTTCTAGCGAGTTAATTTGGTTTTATATATTTATATGTTTCTATGGTTTTTACATGTAGCTTTGAATACAGACAAAAAAAGTTACCAAAAGGACAGAAAACTGTCAGAAGGTATCATAGCTGGGAAATTCAGTGTTGACTTTTTTAAAATTCAATATAAGTGAAAAGTTTAGAGTAAGGCTACTTTTATTGTAGTCCTGGCTGTTCTTTTTAGCTAGTTTACTGTATGTATGGAAGATGCCTAAATTACCTGTTTTCTAATGGCTTATTATCCTTTTATATATTTCAGTGCGTCTCTTGGAACCTGGTGATCCTCCGTTATTGCAGCAGCCGCTGCAAACATCAAAATCTGGTATTCAACAAATCATTGAGTGTTTTCGATCAGGTAGGAAACCATGCCTGATCCTTGGGAAGTCCATTACCTTGTTAAAAGAGTTATGCTTATTCAGTGTATTAAAAAAAAACAGCACCTGACTTTATGCATATTTGCAAAATATTTGTAGATTTTTGGAATTAGGTATTCCTTTTAATAAGGGTTTTCATAGAAAGTAATGAAGATACAGAGCTTGCTGTATAGTTATCCTTCAAAAACCATAAAAATTAAGTTTGTTGTTCTGCTTTGTGCCATTTCTCCTGCTGTTATCAATGAGTTAATCATAAAACTCCTGAGGTGAAGAAAAAACTTAATCTTGACCATCTTAAATTGCTTCATCATATTACTTTTAAGGTATTCCTTGATTGATTGATTTTGGGAGTTGCAATACATAGCAATGAATAGCTAAGCATTTGGGGAGCCAGGGAAGATTGAAACCTTCAGTGTTTTCAAGCTGTTTCTACACTTCTGATGTGGCAAGCCAAACATTTTACTTTCACAGCTCTTGGTCTTTAGTGCTACTACCTATGCATTTCTAAATTTTTTTCCCGTCGATCTTGTAAGTATGTGAAATGCGCCATGTATAAAACACTGCTGCTGTGCAATAAGATGCATGTCTGCTCTGAGTCTTGTAAATGGGCACAGTGTTTAAGTTGTCCACTAGTGTTTCAACTTAATACAAAAACAGGATGTGTGATTATTCATAAGTAACCTTTTTTTGTTTGCTTGAGGCCTCAGAGATGCGTGACAGGCTTTTTTGCTTGAAGCAGATTAATGGAATATCTACTGGTAATAGCACAAACTAGTTGCAGGTGCTTTGTTCTGAGCTACTTTCAGATCGTCCTCACTGGCAAGTGTTAAATTGATAGCTTACTTTGATATCATCAGTCCCCTGCATCAGGGAGGTTGGACAGAAGGCAAGAGGACTTGGAAAAAGATTTTACTGGCTGGTTTTGAACAAGCAACATTTCATTATGGAAAGAGAGTATTTGATTCTTGTGGTAAAGGAATAGAAATTTAAGACAGAGTATTGTACATAACTGTTTAAGTAATTTTATCAAAAGCTTTGGTCATGCAAAGCATTAAGAATAAAAAGTGAATATGATTTTTTTTTCTAAAAAAGAAACTGCTTGCAAAAGGCATAAATTTTGGAATTTCTGATAGAGATATTTATGACTGGTGTTCTCTACCAATTTATTGTGACTTTGATATTATTCTAGCATCAACATTTACAAATGTTAACAGAGTTCGACAAGATATCTCCTGCATTACCATCACAATATACAATTAGATGTAACTACAAAATAGAGAAGACTTCAGTAAGCTAGATTTTTTTTGCTGTTTTAGAAGTTTCTGAATGTCTGCAGTTTATTTCAAAAGGACCAGTTATTTTTTTTACTCTCATCTGTGAAAAGTTTCACAGATGCATAAGGATGATTTGAAGCCAGAATGACTACCATGTCATACAGTATGATTTCCAATATGTCATAAATCCTTTAATCTCATCCAGTAATTCTTAAATCCAGTAATTCGTACTGGAAAAAAACATTTCAGTCCTGAACAGGGACTGAATATAACAGGGGAGAGAATGAGGAACCTGTATGTCTCTTGGCTGGGTAGTAATGGAGAATTTTTTTTTTTGAGAATGAGGCTTGTGGCTAGGGCATGCATGAACAGCATGGAATTTTATCTACACGGAGCATCTACAGTTTTGTTCAGCTGGATTTTCTTTATATGCAGAAATTCAAATGTTGGTGAGATCAGAGTAAACAACTTGCTTTTGGGGGGAACTCTGTACAATTTTTATTTGTTGCTATATCTAAATGTAGTAGTATATATAGTAGTAAATCTAGTTTGGTAGTCTGTTTGTAAAAACGCAAGTCAAATGAGGGTGAAGTTAGTAACACTCAAAGAAAGAGCAGTGGACATGGCTTGGGAAGGCATAGGAGGGGTATGCCCCTAAACTGTGGTAGCCTCACATGACCAAGTTTGGATACCATTTTTAAAGAACTGTTGAAGAAGACACTGCTTTGCTGAAACTCAGATTTAGAAAGCTTTATTGCACCAAGAAATAAGTTTTCGTGGTAAGGCCCATTTGTACTGAAGAACTATTGCCTATTATGAATTTTTTAATATTTGAAAGATTTAAATTTAGAAAATAGTTCTGCAGTGTGTTTGAACTTTGAAAGGAATTCTTTACAGAAGTGTGATGAGATGACAGAACACTTGATCTTGTAGTTCAGCTTGAAGAACGTCTTGCTGCTGCTTTTCCCTAGGTATTTGATATTATTTATTGATGGTCCAGGTCATTATATTTTTCCTTGTTTGATTAGTTTTGAATATTTAAATTCTAAGAAAAATCAAGATAGGTAAAAGAGCTGAATTTGGTTAGTTAGTGCTCCTTTTCTAATTTGGAGTGGGTAAGCATAATTTAGTAATCTGTTGGTAATTTTAGGCCTTTCATGAGATGAAATTTTCATGAGATGAGAAATGAAGGACTAAAAGTAAAAAAAAAAAAATGGCAGGAGTTGGAATACATCAACAATGCTAGATCTAACTATCTTTATATACAATACATAATAGTCTGGAAAGCTGGCATATTTTATCACACTCTCTATGTTTTAATAGAGATCTTTCAGATTTAAATTGTATCTATTTTCCTTCATTCAGGCTGAAAATATGCCTATCTATACTATCTCGTCCAAGTGTCATCATCTTGGACTTGGGTCAGATATCTAAGTGTAGTAACATTTCTTGACCTGTTAATTATTCTCTTTGGTCTATTCAGTCCTTTAGTTTTTTGCCTTACCAGGTGCCATTTCTATACAAAATAGCTGTGTGTGTCTTGTTTTTATAGCACTAGAGGATAACCCTAAAGGTGCTTATTCTTTCCTATTGGGCAATTGTATTGCAACAACCAAATACTGTAGTAAGAACTCTTCCCTAATGTTAGATGTTAGTTTTTATTGTAAACCATTGTACTTTCTCTGTAAACTGTAATGTGTGTAATCCTTGAGGGTTTTTTTCATCCCAGTCTTGTCTTCATAGTGAAAGTTGGAGCATAAACTTCCAGTACAAGTAGGATAACCCTAAAGAAAAAATACTACAGACTTCTTTAAATGCTCTAGGTGCTTATTCTTTCCTATTGGGCAATTGTATTGCAACAACCAAATACTGTAGTAAGAACTCTTCCCTAATGTTAGATGTTAGTTTTTATTGTAAACCATTGTACTTTCTCTGTAAACTGTAATGTGTGTAATCCTTGAGGGTTTTTTTCATCCCAGTCTTGTCTTCATAGTGAAAGTTGGAGCATAAACTTCCAGTACAAATGAAGTAGCACTACCAAACGATAAAATACTGTTGTAATTATTCATGGTCTAAAATGTTTCCACTTTCATGGGATGGTGTGAATTAAGAAATGAACAGAAAGCCTTCCATAAGTGTAATATTTATTTTATTACAGGAACGAAACAACTTAAACATATCTTGTTAAGAGATGTGGACACCATTTTTGAGTGTAAATTGTGCCGGAGTCTCTTCAGAGGATTACCAAATTTGATTACTCATAAAAAGTTTTATTGTCCTCCAAGTCTTCAGATGGATGATAGTAAGTCTTATTAATTTAAATGTTTAATTAAGCAATGTGAAGTTGAAAAATTTGTCTTTACTATTTACACAAACATACCTGAAACAAAATGCAAAAAACCAAGGTGGATCTAAATTTCTGTAGTAATGTATGTAGATCACTTTTATGTTACTGTTAGGAGCTACAGTAATGACTTTATATGAATTAACAACCAAGAGCCATGCCAGTATCATAAGTAGATAGCTAGTTTATAGATCTAGCCTTTTAATTGTCACTCTTTAACACTTTTTATTCCTTCTTCCTCTTTTTCTTTCCCATCTGTCCTTTACTGTGAAAGAAATCAAAAGCATGTCAAAGGACTGGGAAGTGACTCTCACAGAAGACAGTGACTCTAACAGGGTGTTTCAGTTTTAGGCCATCATATCTCTGATGGATTTTGGCTGCTCCTGTGAAGTGACCTGGGTCAATATCCTTGATATTCTCCTGTACTCAGAGAATACAGTGATTGTGTCATGGATGCAGTCTTTTGGTTTTAGTCAGTATGAAACACAGACTAAAAGTTTACCCTTTTATTTAAGGATCTGTGCTTGAATAATGCTGTCTCTTTTCCCCTGCTTCACTTCAGTGTATGCTGCTTTAACATATCCTATGTGATCATGCCTAGCCCAACATCTTTGTTGTGGAAAAGAAGCTTTATTACTAAAAGAAGTTAGTTAAATGATGAGGAAAAAGCTAAGAACTATATTTTTTATGGAAAAAAAAATTTATTACAGTCTCATTCCAGTGATGACTTTTTGTTAGTCTGAGTAAAGTTGATTAATTTGGAAATGTGTCAGCATTCAAAAGTGTTTGTAAAGCTAATTATCTTGATCTCTTCACTGGATCAGTATAGGTGCAGTGAGGATTTTTCTTTCCTAATTAGTGCCTTCCTGCCTCAATATTTCAAAAATTAGGAACAGAGATATACTTTGATGATTCTTTTTGCACATGGTGTCAGCTGAAAGGAGAAGGTGAAAAGGCTGGCTACTTAAATGAGCTTGCTTGGCCAGTTAGAGAGTCACAGAGCTTCTCTGTGATGAGGGGTGACTCGTAGTTTCGAAGCAAGGTTAGAAGTGCATGTGACTTTAGATGTAACAGTTTCTAAGCAAAGTAAGATTACCCTGAGCAAAGACTTAATGTCCAACTCCTGGCATTCTAGCCTTCATTTAACTTTCTGATTAACTTTCATCTGTTAATATGAAATAACATGCAACTAACATACAAATAAAATAACTTCCACTGTGCACTATGAGAGGTGCAAATAAAAGGAATAATACTACACACTGAATAAAACTGTATAAGTACTTGTGCTTTATATAAAATTGATTATAGGTATTGAACTAAGTGGGAGTTTTATCAATAAATAAAAGATAGTGTAGAAAAGGCCAGAATTAAAGTTCAGCACACCATGGTGAAAAATTAATGCACTCAATATAGTAATGAAGTAGTCTTAAAAGGTGCTATAAAATTGGAAGGACTTTTTACTCTTGGTAAAAACTGTATAGATAAGCTCATTTGAAACTGACTGTAAAAGCTGTTAAGAATTCAGTGTTAAAAAAATGGGTTTGGAGCAACAAAACAGCCTATTTCTTGTACTGACACTTTCCATGTATTGCTGGGTGTGTGGAAGGAATAACTTTGACTGTGGGTTTTTAATTAGCTGTTACCAGGACTCACATCTTTAAAATTATCCACAATAATTTGAACTGTGTCATCTCAGTGCCTCACCTTTTTGGTGTAGGACCCCAGCTTCCTAGTTTTGCCATCGCGGATGCTTCGAGTGTCACACTGGGAACTAGAGCACTGAACTAATTTGGCATTTAAAGAGAGAATATTACTGAGACCTGTAAAATATTATCTACTTCTATCTTTATGCAATGCTCAGGTTACACAGATGTTTCATCTTTGGTAAGGATTGTTCACAATTCACAGAGAAGAGCTTATTTCCAGAATTAGATTCTTTTATTGAGAGTGCCTATATCCCACAGTAGGAAAATCGGTTTTTAATGATGCTTCAGGCTTAGTTGCACACCTGCAGAAGAAGCTCAGTTGAATGATGTTATTCTTGCAATTGATACAGTTTTTTAAAAACCAGCTTAATTCCAGTCATACAAATGTTTAGTTCAGGTGGCTTTCACATTAGCACGCCAGGAGGGTTATTTCCGATGCTGGCTTTTAATAAAAAGGCAACTTGCAATGATTACTCAAAGCCATTGAGTGTTCAGAGAGTACAAAAGAGGATTTGTGGAAATTTGTAGACTTAATTCACGTAGTGGTTAAAAGCTACTTTGAAATTTAAATAATTGGAAATTACCAAATCATTAAAAAATACCTTTTCCTCTTTTCACAGACCTGCCAGATACAAAAGATAAGCAGAGTCAAGCCATAAATGACCTTCTTGAAGCAATCTATCCAAGGGTAGATAAGCAAGAATATATCATTACGTTGGAACCTATAGAAACTAATCAAAATGCTGTGTTTCAATATGTGTCAAGGACTGATAGCCCAGACGAGAACACAGAAAGTAGCCATACCCCTGATCAAGCTCCAGTACAAATCCAGGAACCCAGCACTGAGCAGCCCAAGACTGTTTCAGCTCCAGCCCTGGTCCCAGCTGGGGATACTGTAGAATTACCTCCTGCTGATCCTGTTACAAACAAGGTGATATCTACTCCCAACGAACAGCCACCAGCAGTAAATCCTGACTTGGACTCTCTGGATAATTCTGATTATGGCCACCAGTTGATTTGTTGCCTCTGTAGGAAGGAATTTCATTCAAGACGCAGTGTACGCCGGCACATTCGAAAAGTACACAAAAAAAAGATGGAAGAACTAAAGAAGTATATAGAAACAAAAAAGAAAACAAACCAGTGCTCTGCAAGAGGACGAAATAAGAATGTTCTTGTCACATTAGGTAGAAGTTGTCCTGTGTGTTATAAATCATTTGCCACAAAAGCCAATGTAAGGAGGCATTTTGATGAAGTTCATAGAGGATTAAGAAGGGATTCCATTACTCCTGATATAGCTACAAAGCCTGGGCAACCTTTGTTCTTGGATACAGTTTCTCCTAAAAAATCTCTTAAGACCAGAAAACAAAAGTCGTCTTCAAAGGCTGAATACAATTTAAGTGCATGCAAATGCCTTCTGTGCAAGAGAAAGTATAGTTCACAGATAATGCTGAAAAGGCATATGCAAATTGTTCACAAGATAACTCTTTCTGGAAAGAACTCTAAAAGAGAGAAAGGACCCAACAATACTACCAATGGCACAGAAATACAAGTTGAACCAGCAGATTCTGTAGAACCTTCACCCCCTTCCATTGTGCTTTCTCCACAGAATGAATTAAAGGGAACAAATCATCCAAATGAGAAAAAGAACACACCGTCAGCACAAAAAAATAAGGTTAAACAGGACCCTGAAAACCCTAAATCAACTTCTAAATCAACCACTAAATCAACCTGCAAATCAACCACTAAATCAACCCCTAAATCAACCAATGCATCTGCTGCAGGTGGCCAGCAAAAGGCCAGGAAGCCAAAACTTTCAGCTGGCTTTGACTTCAAGCAGCTTTACTGTAAACTCTGTAAGCGTCAATTTACGTCTAAACAGAATTTAACAAAACACATTGAATTACACACAGATGGAAATAACATTTATGTTAAGTACTACAGGTGTCCACTCTGCTCTTACGAAACGCGTCGCAAGCGCGATGTGATCCGACACATAACTGTGGTTCATAAAAAGTCGCCACGCTACCTTGGGAAAATAACGGCGAGTTTAGAAATAAGAGCAATAAAGAAGCCAATTGATCTTGTTCTAAATAAGGTGACAAAAAGAGGCTCTCAGAAGGATGAAACAAAACAGATTGGTTCAAAACAGGATGTCACCTCTAATTCTCCCAATAAAAAGTATGAAGGAGCTGATGTTGGCATTGAAGTAAAAGTAACAAAAAACTTTTCTCTGCACCGATGCAATAAATGTGGGAAAGCATTTGCCAGAAAAGCTTTTCTAGAACATCATAAGAAAACCCACAAAGCAAACGTATCTCATTCACCTGAAGAAAGTAAAACCAAAGGCAGAAGTACAAGATCTAAAGCTGTTGTCTGGTGAGGAAAAAGAGAGAATGTTTTGTCCTTTTTTTTTTTTTAAAAAACAAAAAAACCCAACAATGCTACTGCATTTCTTTTGCTGTTGTTGATTTATTGCTGAAAACATATTTTTTCCCATAGATTTTATGGTTTAGTGATTTAAATGCAAAAGTAGATGTCAAATTTGTTTCTTTTTTTTTTTTAGCATTTTGGAAAAGAGTTAAAATCTAAATTTGTCATTGTAGAAAGATGGAATGTAGATTAAACTGTACTAAGTCAACTCTTTAAACTGTCTTAAGGCATCTGCTGTAATAAGGCTAATATAAATACATTTTTAAAATAGTAATTTTTTTAAAATTAACAGTAATTTTGTTTGGTTTGAATAACTTAACTCATTTAATTAACTTTGCTGTGACCACTTGAAGAAGTACTAAAAGTACTAAAGTAAAAGCTGATAACAGAAAAAATCTCTATGAATTTACTGGAATTAGCATTTGTAAATTTAAATTTTTATTTTAATGTGTATTGCCCACACACTGTCAACAAAAGTGCATAGAACAGGTTTTTTTAATGTAATTTGGTTGCTTAGTTGTTTTGATTTAAAATCATTATGGGTTAGGTGTCTGCAAATACCTTTGAAGTCATCAAATTTAGAATTCCATTCTTTTAATGCTTATTTATATATGCCCAGGTTTGGAGACGTGTGGTCATTTAGTTTTTAAATTGTTCAAATCTTATCAAAGTTTTTGCTTTAAGCATTGATATGTATTGATGTCTGCCCTAGAATTTTCTAAACTTTTGCTTATGTAGTGCTCTCGGAATTTTTTACACTTGGAGGGGTTGTATTTGTAGCTACTCAGTTTTCCATAGGCCTTGCCATGGCCTATTTTTAGAGGACCTTTTAAAAAAGAAAATATTTGTGTGCAGTCACTTTGTATTTCACACTGACCAACTGATGGCTGAAGGTTGGGGATTGTACAAAAGTATGATGAAGAGAGGCTGTAGTGATAATTTTAGGAGTTTTTAACATCCTTATGCAGCATCATCTTTCTAGCATATTTGGCAAAAAGAAAGCAAAGTATATGTGCCTTGTTCTGTGTTTCAACTCTGAAACGCTATTTTCTGGGAGGTGATTCAATCTGAGTTCAGCTTTCACAGTGAATAACCACCTAGTTCTAATAAATTGTGATGTGGTGCTTTCATGACTTTCTAATAAATCCTGACCAAATTAGGCAGAACTTCAAAAATTAACTGAGTTGAGCCCTGAATTATGCTGAATTCTAGAGGGGGACTGACTTCTGCATTTTGACTAAGAATTAAAAATTAACCTTGTAAATTACTTGTGTAGTTTAAAAGAGAATTATATGGGTGAACTCAAAATATTAATTTATTCCCATTTCTCTTCAGATAGGCTCAAGTGATATTCGGAAAGTTTGAAGTTCATTTGAATGAAAAAGACTTTAGTTTGTTGGTGGAACTGCTAATTCTTGATAATGGTACTATAAGGAGAAAATACTTTCATAAGCTGTTTTTTTTTCTTACAATATTAATAATCATTCTGACTGCTTGTAGGACAGTGCCACTTCCCAAAACACTGAAGTAGTTGAAGTGAAATGCACATGCCTCTAAATTAGCAGCTATCTCTGTGTAGTTGTAGTTTGACCCAGTATAGAACAAACTTCCTGAAATTGAAAAAGCGTATACCCGAGACAAGTTAATGAGCAACAGCATTGGAAGAAGGTGGATTTTCCTCATTTAGGAAATCTTCAGAAAACTCATGGTGCATGCTGGTCCTCCCTGGCAGTGCTAATTGATGGACAGCTCAAACTTTGATGTGATATCCTACTTTAATAAATGTTGTATTATACACTGTTTTAAATTTATTACAAATGAATGTATAAGAGCAAACAATGTAGTGTTTATTGGCTGAATTCTACTAATTTTTAGTATTTGCCATAAATTCAGTTTGTTCATATTGACTAATTTCCCAGTTCAGGGACATTCTGAATTTCACTGTGCTGAAGTTGCTTCAAAGACCTCCATTTTGTTTCCGTATGTGGTTCACAGGAAAACTTTGTAAACATCTAGAAAGTTTACAAGAATATCCACATTCCTCTATTCTTTAATTTTAAAAAAAATTATACACAAGCACTTTAATGATAGTTGCAGTTTATTTTTTCAGTTTATTTTTTGAAAGATCAACACACTAATGTTAATATGAAGGTAGTGAATATTTGCTGATGTATTATAGACAATCTGTGCACAACCACTTATAATGTTAGTTTATTTCATTAAATATTAATAAAAAGGGAGGATAGTTTGGGAGAAACTCAAAATATATTTTCTCCCAAAATCATAAATTACCACTATGGGTAACACTTGACTTTGTGTAATTGGAAAATGCTTAGATACCTTTTTTAACCTTTTAATCAAGATTGTAGTAAAACAGTTGCATGCCTACCATTATGAAGTTCTTGGCAGGTTTCATGCAATCGTGGGTTTTGTTTCAGTTTTTTTTTGTGGTTTTTTTTTTTTTTTTTTTTTTTTTTTTTGTTTGGGTTTTTTTGTTTGTTTTGTGTTTTTTTTTTTTTTTTTTTTTTTTTATTGTTGTTTGGGTTTTTTTGTTTGTTTTGTGTTTTTTTTTGTTGTTTATTTTTTACCTTTTAGAAAATATTTTGTTTAGTAATTTGTGTCAAATTGCTACAATTTGAAAGGTATTGTACATCAGAAGAAATACCATGTTTTTTATATCGGTTCACTCCCTTACTTAGGGAGGTGCCTCATGTTCATATATACTTTTTTGTATAAAATATATCTAAATGTTGATCACAAGATCAGGAGTAAAAATGATTTTATGGATAGAGAACTATTTGGCCCTGTTAGTGCATTGCACTAAAAATACTGTGAATGGGAACTAAGATTGTAGCTTTGCTCAAAATGTTCTATATTGAATGTACATGCTTTTGTTTGGATAAATGTACTGTATTTGATGGAAAATAAAGCAGACTGGAAATGATTTTTAAGTGGGCATAAACAAAAGATGCTGTATTTGTAAACTTGGGATATCTGTCACTCCACAGTCGGAAATTACTTTGTTTGCATTTTGTAAAGTTTTATTTGTTGATCATTGAAGCTAGATCTTTGTAATATTCTGTTGTAATAAATGTTTTTTTTTTTTTTTTAATTAAAAATTTGGCACTTGTGGAGTGAACACTTCACACTGGTGGTCAACCCTTGCTGTATTTTTGGCAAACACTGCTCATATTGGCATTTTGTTCCTTGTAAAGGAATCTCTTCTTTAACTGAGGAACTCTTGTTGTTGTTACCCTTTTAGAACAAAATACTGAAGAAGATAGGCTATGATAATACTGGTATTTTTTGTTTTGATGCTTTCCTGCCGTTCCAGTGAAAGGCAGCGTGGATGTATGTGGTCTGTGTTTGCAGCACAAGCCTTTCCAGCGCTAGCTGGTTCAGCTCTCTTGGCTGAACTGAATTTGCTCTTTCACATTACTTGTATGCTTTGAGCCTGACAGTCTGCTCCTTTATTAGGGGCAAACAGTCTGCTTTGATGATCTTCCACAGCTGTTGATGTTATGTGAAAGAGCTGAGTGGGCTCAGTGGCAGAGCAGAGACCAAAAAGCGCAGTCCGGGGTTTGCAGCAGATCTTATGTGTATACGTGCTTATGTTTTTTTCACTCTGTTGCTCAGATGTTTTCTTCTCCAGGATGTTGTGGTTTTGTAGTTCTCAGCTTGTGACTTTCTGCAGCAAACAAAGGGATTTTTTGAAGTTACTGTCTTGTGGCAAGGCAGGTGGGGTGAGTCTTAGACTGAAATGGATGTGTAAATTTTAATCAGCTTCCTTCATAATGTACATCTAAATTTCACCTGCTACTCTCTGAAGAAAAAACTACCTAAGAATGAACAAGCCTAAAATGGGCACATCATCCTTTAAGTGTGTAAAGCTGCATTTTCTATCAAAAATACATTCATGATATTTGCAGATAAGGAGATTAATAATTTGTCTTTGGTATAAAAGTGGCAATGGCTTTCCAAATTCAGTGAGACATTTCTCTGCACGGTGTCAAACTGGTAGTACATTAGATGGTGGCTGGGTTGACAAAGCTTAGGATCAGGTATCTGTGCTGTTTCAGAGTACTTGTTCCCATTAGTGTAAGTGAGGAAAACAAGGGGCATGACTTTGTTGACCTGCTCAGAGCTGAACAGATTGTGATTCTGGTCTCTTTTCTTAAATCTCTGTATATAAATATTGCCATTTGCTTCCTCAAGGATCACTTGCACAGGTGAACAAATTAGGCATGGTAAAAATGGTGTTTGACACTGAAAAGACTGAAGGGACTGTCCTGTTTTCTTAAGTGTCAGTAATGTCCTGAAGCTTGGGCTGGAATTGGTTCAGTTTGTGCAGGTCATTGTTTTTTGCAGTACAATAATATGCAGATGCCCCATAAATTGTACTTCATCTGGCATTTGCTATTCTGAGTTACTGTTTAATTATCATTATTTCATGATTTTAACTCCAGAATTTGCTTTTCTGCTATTCAAGGTGATACTGGAGATATTCCACTTTGAAGAGTTATTTTCAGTAAGTTGTCTTTCAGTTTACAATTACCTTATCTGGGTGCAGTGGTAGGATGTTTGCTTCCCTTGTTTTCTCTCTGTCAGTGTAACTGATCACAGCAATGCAGTCAGGTACTCGGTTATCTTTTGACTGTGACTTTCAGAAAGAAACTTTGTCTTGGAGAAATGTAGAGAAGTGTGGAGGATGCCTTTGAAACTGAGTGCCTGCACAGCTGTGAACTGACCCACAATGATTGGAAATGGCCAGCAAACTATTAGCATTCTTGGCTTCAAAACAAGACTGGTAACAGACTAAGAGACTTCTACATCTTGAAAAGCTGAAAAAAATGTTTTTGTGTCTTAGAGCTAATTTTCTCATTTTAGTAAATTGGTTGCCTACACCAGTATAACACAGGGCAATATAATCCAAAAGCAGTAGAATT